TAGCTGCTGTTCATTGGCTATTCTGACTTTCGCTGCTTTATCCTAATTTAGATTACTGTACAGGCCTGAGGATGATCAACTGAAAAAGCACGTCCGCTAAACTTGATTTCACCGGTGTCAATATGGCTACCATCACAGAGGATAGAATGTCTCAGAAGCTTATGCAACAACTGGGCTTTTAGGCTGCTTTCTACAGTCATGCAGGCGCAGTTTGTAAGTACCACCAGCGACACCACAAGAACATCAAAGCAAGATGACCACGGCTATTCTATTTGAAATGCCTACAAGACCGACTTGCATCAATTGCCGCACGGATATGGTATTATATTTTGGGCATGTCACGTGATACAAAGAGGCTCAACTATTGCAGCCACCGTCAGGACTTGTAACCTTAACTCGGACAAGAAACTGGCGTATGGGAAGGGGAAAAGAGTGAGGTCATTCCAGCCTGATGTGCTTTGAATGGCTGTCAGCTGGAATTGTGGTACACGTAGGCGTGGACGCAGCCACTGCAGCCGATTTATCTACAGTCGTCTTCATCGATTTTTATCCCCGGAACATGGTGGGCGGTAAAACGGATCGATGTTGGTGCTGCACTCCTCTGCCCCATCACCTGTAGGTCACCTCTAAGCCCTCGCTGGAACAGAGCTGGTGTTCTTCGCTTTCTTTGAATGCACTTATTACACACTGGGGGATTATAACTTTTAAGCCTCCAGAATAAGAATGAGAGCGATATGGCCGCCTAGCAGAACCTACCGGTCTTCTGCGGCCCACCAATGAGGACTGAGGGCAGAAGGTCCTGATCGCAGAGGCTGCTTGGTGGCCAAATCTCTGCATGACGCCGATCAGCGCAGGGATTAGACTGCAGAGGCAGACCAGCAGAGACGCTGGTGGGCGCCTCAGTCTGCCGGTGGAAGGCCAAGTGCTGCTGGGCCAGGAAGTTGGGCGGGCCGGTTTTCAGATGGAGGCGGGTCCAGGCGAGTAAAAAACGGAAGGCGCCGTTAAGGACGTAGGTTGCCAGACGGTCTTGGCCGTAGTTGCCAAAATGTGTCATGAAGAAGCTAACCTGGATGAGTGAAAAGTCATGGTGAGCGAAATGCGCGTGTGTGTGCTGTGCTTCAACAGCAAAACGTCATAGACTCAAGACAGCCCAGTGCATAAGATCAGAAGTAAGGGTAGGCAAGGACGAAGTCTAAAAGTCCGCTTTCCACGCCAAATACAACAGTCGATAAAGGCTGCGTTAATGCGGCTGAGGGGGGAAGGGACAGTGATAGGCCCTTCGCCCTCACGCTTTTTGAGGAATATGCAAACGGCCGAAGACATTGTAATGTACGTTAGACAAAGGGACATGAAAGACTGGCCGGGCTGACCTCATGCACTCCTCCCCCCATGCTTCAGTGGCCTGTCCGGGAGAGGGGGGTGCAAAGGGGCTGGGATAAAGCGCACTGGTTGAGGTGGCGGGAGAACCTTACCTACACGACACGAGGTGNGCACGTTAATTTTCCAGTTGGTGTCACCAGGCTGCCATCAGACAAAGTGTCCTCGTGTATATAGGTGGCGCAAAATGACCCAGACGGGTGTCACATTATCTGTTTGTAGAGATGTAACTATGAAGACGTTGCCACCATCACGTTCCCCGATCACTCGCTTCCTGCATCATCGTGGTTACTTCTTGTCTAGCTTGGTGACTACCCTCTCCTATTTCGTCGCCTCCACTCTGCACCCTCCGGTTTCTACTTGGCCTCAGAGAGTCCCGTGCTCAACATTTCCCGTGGTGGACAGTACGACCCTGCCACTCTCTCCCTCTTTCCGCAACGTGTGAGTGTTAAATGCCGGTCAAACTACTCGGGTCAATTGGCCACCACCCAACTCATCGCTCAACGCTTTGCCGATGGCCTCCCCAACTACGACTCCGTGCTGCGCAGACAGCGCCGGTCATGTGACTACGAGAAGCCACCTGCCTGCTGTTTAGCAACCCTCGTGCCCCCTCTAGACTCTACGCAATACTTTCAGACCGTTGCCTTTACAAAACTCTTACCTCTCGACTCCGCCCTCTCCCCTGATGATAATGATGATTTGCACCCAGTTACCCGACAAAGCTGTGCATTTTCAGACCCGGTAAGTGCCTCTAGTTTCCGCGCTACTGATGTCTGGATCACTATTTTCCGCTCCTTTGTCTCCGTTTTTAATTTCCAGGCTCGCCACGTCTGTCGTGTCCTGTGGAGATCATCTCTGACTAAAGTGAGGCGAGGGAGAGGGGCAACGCTGGCTAGTGGGTGTGTTGGACGTGGATGATCAAGGCTTGCGTAACATCGGCCCCACAAGCTCCTTCCATCTAAAGTGTTCTTTTGGCATAACTAAGTCATGACCAGTGATGGCGACTCTGCCCACACTTGGATTCCCGAGCATTCTCGGCCTGATTTTACACTACAGCCCCGTTAAGAGGGGGACATAATGATCATGCTATCCAACCAGTTAATGACCTTTTAAGGCGCAAATTTCAGGGTCCGGTGAATTAAAAAGGTAATTTGGCGCGTGGTAGGCCTTCCGCTCGACTGAGGTCCCAGAAGCACGATAGATGACATGAAGCCCAGTGGTTTGCACCCTCCTCTTACGCCTGTGTGCAGTACAATGCTGGCCAGTCGGTGGGCTGGCACTTGTGCGGCCCGCAAGGGGGGCGGGGGACGAGTCTCCGCGCTCACCCTTTAGTAATCTTGATCGCGACTGAATTCAGAAGGCGCAGCGATCCTGAGGTCGATGCTACACAATTCTATCTCACCGTAGCCATGCGAAGTATTGATAATTGTCGCCGACTGCAACGAAGAAAACAGCATGCAGTTGATGATATTGAACGCTGGCAAGGGTGCTGTCAAAGTTCAATAGCACATCACGCTTACCCCCTAGACTTGATCTGTCCTTCGATTGGGGCGTCACAAAATTGTAGCCAGTCTTTTTTGCCCTTAAAAGGATGCCACCCACTTGAGAGCGGTCTTCTCAGCTTTGTTCTGGCGCAGGACAGAAATGAGCATCTCTCTTTTGCCTTGCGGTCCCGTGCCTAGAGTCGATCCAAACTGTTGTGCAACAACGAGCCCCTGAGACTGGGTTATCGCTGACTGATGACAACCAGCAAGAAGGAACCGGCAATCTCACTTTTTGCCAGAAACACTTGAGAAATGATCGCCTGTCGCCACGCAACAGCCCCGATGGTCTTATACAGGTAGATCTACTACAAAGCAAAAATGCTAATCTCCACCCTCTAATCACAGCAGACAAATATCAGACGCTACTTGGATTTGACCTGACACATTCCCGATCTCGGCCGCCAAGACGCGGACCCTGTGGCCCATATAGTTAGAATTGAACTTAAATTCCTACCGACCCACTTGGTGTACGGGTTCAAATTTCGGGTGTGTCAGTACCTGGACTTGGGGCATCAGAGGTGGGCGACGACAAATTAGTCAAAAACTGTGTCCATAGTTTTTTCTACTAGAACTTCTGAAAATACTGCCACTATGCGGAGGTATTCTGAGGAGATTACTATTTTCAGCTAATGCATACAGTTTCCCACGCAGGTCAATGCGTGCCTTTTTTAGCCTCCCCCCTGCCCATCTAACTATAATTTTGATAGACTAGCCCTTGTCTGCTTATTTAACTTGTTAGTTCGTGTGTTTTTATTGCTGTTATTTTATCCTTAGCGCGTCCTCTGCGCTTTCCAAATGCACCACATAAGAGCAGCCCACAATGATCCTTGCCGTTTTAGTTGGAAGCCCATAGAGGACTAGCGTTAACCAATGACATCAAATACATTATGGGAACAGTTTTTGACCTCATGTCTCTGTGGCATGACGTGCTAGGTAAACCCCCAAACCTTACAGGAGTACGCCTATGCACTCTTATAGAAGTCTTCCACTGTCGCTTGATTTAGTATCGCAGCGCAGATGACTGACTACTGACTAACAAAACGAATTCAACAACGTTAAGCGGAGAACCAATAAAAAAATTTGAAGGTTAAAACATCCATCGCTACTTGCATGGTCAACTCCCAGAAAACTACTGATTTCTCATGCCCAGTAAAATACGGGAAAAATAAGAAAGTAAAATAAAAATGAAAAATAAAGGAGAAATAAGAAAGAAAAATAAAAGAAAAAAGAAATAAAATTGACAAAATCTCAATCGCAATTACGTTTTCGGGTGACGTAAGGAAGCAAATAAAGTGTCGAATGAAGTATACAAAGAGGACGATGCATGACGAGGTACACACAAATGGCAGGTTTTATCGTCAATTAGTAAAACGTTACACCCCCAGGCAACTCTCGTCCTGGTGCTGACTCGAATAAACGACTTCTCCAATTTAAGTCGAGTGTTGCGTCACCTGGGTTACCAGGCCATCGACTAGAGCTCCACAAGTAGTAGATATTCCCTGGTCTCTGACCTACAAAACTGCCCTTTTTGGGAGGTATCGATTTCTTTTTCATAGCCCGCATTGGCGGTCCCTTGGTAGCTCAGTTACCGGGGTTCTAGAGGCTAGCTGTTCGAGTTCACCCCAGAGCGTAAGTTTTCTGGTTACGTAGGCTTTGTGTTTGCAATAGCCTGCGACGGCAAAAAGTCACTACTGCTTCCGTGGTCTACAAATCATGGCATCTTTCATCCACTACTTTCTAGTGATTTCACTCTTTTCCGGGTATTTATTTTCGGCCCTTTTCTGCGCATCACAGCAGGCCGACAATCTGGACGACCGGTACCAGAGCCTTGTGATCGAAGATATCGGCGGCATAGATGGCATCAAGCGGGTGCTCTTTGCCTATGGGGCTTCAAGTCACTGGTCTGTCCACCTCCTGCTCATGGACGCCGTTCGCTACCTTCTCAGCTCAGTAAATCGAAAGGGACCATTGGAGGCCTTGGAATTTGGTACGTTTTTTGTGGCCACAGCAAGAGAATGAGGTTTTGGATAGGGTCTACAGACACTTCCGTTCCCATCAGTTTTTTTTTACAGGGAAATATTATTGCCTGCTCTTTTTCACTGAAGGCCGGGGCCAAAATCCTTCATACGGGCGAGGGAGGGGATAGTTCTTTCCTGGATGAAGTCACGGTGGTTACCGGATGTCGCAACATAACCCAATTCGACAATAACTTGTAGTTAGGTCCCTTCACCCTCCCCCCCTCTCCCTTTTGTAACTTCACATCGGCGGTCATCATAATTTGTTAGCGGAATTAGAGACTTCAGTCGATGTTTAATGTTTCAACTTAAACTTCAGACTGTTCCATCTTTCTTTACTCGTGTAGTTCACCGAAACTTAAGTGGGCAGTCACTCCTTCCTGCTTTGTCCGGTATAGGCTTTAAATATTCATATTCCAGCTTACTTACCGCTCTAAGACAGAGGCTGAGTGTTGGCAGAGGAACTGACTACAGTACAAGTACACTTTACCCTTTGTCAGTACTCCTGAACTGCACACTGTTAGCGGGCGCGTAAACTGCAAATGTCATTATTTTTGCACGTTTCAACCCCTGTAGATATCGGCTACACTCGGTGGGTTCACGTCGATATCGATGACATATTTGTGGCCAGTCCCGAAAGCCAGCTCTATCCAAGCGACGTTGAGGTGAGTTCATGCCTTGTTTCAATATCCTCCGTTTTTGCATGCTATCCGGTGAGCCGCGGCTTAACTGGGTTTTTGGGCAGCCCCACAACTGTGAGTAGCGTTCACTGGCTGAACTTGCCGGGAGCCAGTGACGCTAAGATGAGCGATCTCCCGCCCTGGTCTTTGTCAGGGAGTCTTGTTGGTCTGACTTGCCCTCTCGCCCTCTCCTCCCCATTTTAGCCACATTCTCCTCCAGCTCCTTACTTTCGTCCTGTTTTTTTTCCGTTATCCCCTGCGTCTGTTGATAATGGCGGCGGCGGCGGCGATTATTCATGAAAGCACCTGTCGTCATTCTCAGCCTCTTAGACCACCAGGCTCATCACCTCAATTTGTTTTGCAACTTTCGTACTCCATTGCGTTTTAAAATTGACTGTCTTTTGCATGTGCTCTCTCTCCCCTTTTGACTTCTCTATCTTAATTCATCGTTTTTATCCTAAAAAATGTAACTTCGGCGTAGTTACGGTAATGATGATAATAACAACTGTCACGAAATCGCCTTTGTCATCTACTCTAGTTGAAACAACATTTCCTTTCGGTACACATCCTTAGATCTCGATTATCAAGGACATATTTATTAGGTAATATATAATGTGCTAGGGGGACGCTCACCGATCGTTCTTACGGAACTCACTCGTTCCGTTGTACCTTACGGGCTCTCTCTCTCTCGAGCCCAATCATCAACCTCACAGCGGCGCATGATTTAGTCAGAATAGCATTACCGACAAAGACAAGGGAGACTGGAATGGCCGTTTCTGGCATATTAGCCGTCGTCAGCCAGTCATAACCAACCCCGAAGTGTGGAACACCTGCGGTCAGAGACGTTAGACTTCTAACTTCCAGGTCGCAGGATCGAGCCCCAGGTGTTGCACACTTCGGGGTTGGGTATGGCTGACCGACGGCGGCCTATAAGCCAAAAATGGCCATTCCAGTCTCCCTTGTCTTTGTCGGTAATACCATTCTGCCAATATATAATGTGTGGGCATATGCTTTTATTACAAAAACATACCTACTTGCTCTGTTTAAGTAGGCACGTCACGCTAGGGTCTATCGCAATAAGGCGTCTAAAGTTAAAATTGGGATCTATGATTGGGGCTCGGATTTTGCGGTTAGGGCTAGCACTTAGGGTTAGGAGCAAAGGTCTTGATTGCGATTGGTTGAAGGTGAGGATTAGGGTTGGGGTTAGGGTTTAGGTTTCCCTGCCGCATACCGTCCTATCCAACCCGACCATAATTAACCGATAAATACGGATTTCCTATTTTCCAATTGTTTATGCGCTGTTAGTTGGCATACATCAAATTGCCCGTCTGTTCCGGCACCGTTTTGGAGTAATGGAACAAACATATGCCAAAAGTGCGAGTATTCTTAATGCCCTCCGCAGACTTCGCTAATTGCCTCATTCATCTGCCTTACTGACAACACTTCTATTAACATCCTTCCCTTTTTACAGGAGTCTTTATTGTTCTATTTTCTCAATGAACTTACATATTAGTTCCCTGCCAATTATTGCCTGTACGTAAATTTGGTTGTTGGTAGCCTTTCAATTAGCTACTAAGGTCTTTGTAGGAGCTCATTTAGCACAATTGTTATTTGCCTCAATATTGAGCCAGGAAGTGGGGTACCCCTGAACGAGACCCAACCGTTGGCTTAGCTGCTCGCTAGCCAGAGCAGCCACATGTGGTGGATAGTGGTACAGCCTTCAACGAAGGTCAGCCTCAAGGCAAGTGGACTCAGCGTGTGTGATGGAGAAGTGGGTGGGGAGATCCTTCTTCGAATGAAGGCACCACTAGCCCCTCTGCCGAGCTGCTGTCCAGCAAACGACGACTTAGCCGATCGGAGGACTATGGTCCGCGCGCTCTTGTTGGACTTACCGAGGAGCGATGGCGTCTGACAGCAGCAACAGCCCACGTTACTGAGACACCAAGGCGGTTAAAACGAAACGTAGTGTAGCAGTCTTCAGACAACTTTCGACTGAAACTTCAGATGCTGGGATTCAGTCTTTGAATAAAACTTGTCTGGGTTCCGAGACCCTTCTCGGTTTTTGCACACAGAGAATTAACAACATACTTCTTTTGTAAACTGCTCCGATCGGGTGGGGGGGGGGGTTCAGGTGTTCCTTCTTACGAGTTGTCTTTGGCTTTTTTTCTCTTCATTGGGGCTTTCCGCATTTTCCGGAGATTTTACTCGCGCGTTACCCCCCAACCATTGTAACTCTCTTGTTTGTGATCGCGCACATGTCTGGGCAAATTTCAAGCATCTGCAAGGACTCGCTTCGATGGGTGTCAAGGTCAGCCAGTGTCTGTTGTTGCTGACTAAGTCCAGAACAACTGCTGTCTCATCCTTCATCCACCTTTGTCTATTCACCGCCCCTTGATCGTCCTGCTGCTCGTCAATCAGTCACCTGTCCATCATCAATACCATGGAATGTTGGATCTTATTTACCCTTGAGAAGTCAGACGAAGCTCCATTAGAAGCTGGGAGGTCCTTGTCGTACCCTTTTGTTTGTGTAATAAATGCAAAACAGAAGGCCGACTGCAAGTAGAACGTGTAATGAACACAGGAGACAGCACAAGCAGTAAGTCCTAGAAAACACGACGTGGTACATGGCATAAGGAGGCGTCAGATTGTACGGTGGCCAGTCAGCACTTAGGCGTTCTGATCACGCATCCGTGACCTTCAACATCCGCTCGTCACGCGTAAGTGTTTTGATGTCCAAGACGCAGTGCGGACAGCATGCAGTGCAATTTGTATAACATGTAATTAATTAAAATGCGACTATAAGGTTCAGTCTGGTCCGCCCTACCAAACACATCTATGGGGCTCAGTGCGTTTGGCGTGGTTACGGTTGAAGTAGACGGAACCTATAGCGCTGCCAGGAAAGCTTGAACCGACAGCCGCGGTCAGCATGACTCTGTACCAGGCCCTTTGTTAAAATTGTCACCGAGGTTGGATGATTACGGAAGCTTTCGTTTTATTGACCTCCAGGCCCTGCTGACGGTCCAACGAGAATGGCGGAAGATTATACCAGGATTTACATTCAGCTTGGGTTTTTCCGGTGGACACTACGGACATGGATCAGCTGTCGGGCGCGCTGGTGACGCCGAACTTCTTCGTGAGTCAGATTCTGTCCAGTCGTTTGTATATTGTCCCTCTAGTCTCGCCTAGAGGCTTTCATCCGCTTGCCCTCTCCCCCCTTCATTCACTTCTGACAATTCCCCTGTCTTGCACACCTGAAATTTTTTATCCAGCACATAGTGATCACTCCTACCTTCTGGTTTATTTGAATTCTACTTATGAGGTTGTCAATCGGCCACACTAACACACTTTTGAATGGAATAAAATTTGAAAACTGTGAAGTTGAATCAGTCTGTGTTTGAGGCCGGGCGCAGTATTTTTCGTGCCGTTGTCCTGGTGGTTCAGAGGTTGTCGTGTCTTCGCTTAGTATTTGCTAATCTTCTGATTTCAGTACTGTTCCATGCCACCTTTGGAAGAAAATGTCTATTTCTTAAGCCCAGTTTATCCTGTCCGGCGAGCGTAAATCTATCCCTTTTTCCTTATTACTGTAGAGTTTTTTAAGGCTCCATATTATTCCACCGTTTCAAACAACTTCCCATATTTCAAGTATACTAATGATGTAGTTGTCAATCGCACTGACAAAAGCAGGGCTGATCTCCAAAGTCTCAGGGAAGACCAATATCATGCCTCAGCGTAATCAGGAGTCGGTTCAGTGTCAATAGAAGCGAAAATGCGATCCCGAGGTGACATATCAAGAGAAAAGGAGGCGTTCACCGCGAGAGGTTCAGTGTGTTTCCGAATAAAGTAGTCTCCCGACCCAGACCTCTTTGCCATTCTTCCTGCTAATGTCGCTTCTTCCTGGTAGTTTGATATTACCTGGTCTTCCAATCTCCTATTCTTCCTTCATTTCGAATTCACTTTTTGTAAATTTCGTAGGTTTACTTATTATGTTCGTCATCCACGTTCCTAGCATGCCCACAGCCCTTATTTTAGCAAGCTAAAGACGTCTGTATTCTCTTACTCTTCCATCTCTGCTAATAAGAGACACGCTCATTATAGGACGTGTCCCTCACTTGCTCGTGTCTGCCGTCCTTGTCTCTTATTTCTGTTTCCTCGATATCATAGTTCGATGGAATTTTTCAATGATCAATTTTCCGACCGATTTCGCGATAATCCTGCCCACCCTCCTCCCATTCTGATCTTATTGCTGCCAAGTCCTTCCGTCCAGTCCTGCGTGGCTTTAGCCATATCTCCTGCGTACGTCGGCATATATTGTCGTTGACACGATTTTTGATCTGCAATGAGACCGAAATACGAGAATCAGGAGTGGACTTGTTACCATGGTGATTAGACCGTTTAATGTTGGCATTTTTCTCGGTATCGAGCCACTTGTATCTTGACCCTTGGCGCAGGAGAGTGTTTCTACCGAAAATGTTGTAATCTCGGTTTTAAGATGAAGCCTATTCTCCCCTCGCCCTCTCCCCTGCCCTCTGTCCTCCATCTCCGTTTCTTCCCAACATCATCCTTCTGTTCCTTGTCTTCTTTTCCCCTCATTCCCCGCTCCCTCGAAATATTTTACTTCTGCTTTCCTCTTCCGTCAACTACCGTCGTTTCTGTCACGTCCCCTTCGTTTCTTTTGTGAGAAGTCATCTTTGCTCCACCTTTCCCTATTTTCTTATTTTTTACTTCCGTTCCCTCTCTTACAATACATCCTTCTTTGCATTTGCTTTTCCCTCTTTCTAATATTATTGTTAACCTCCCTATTTTGCTTCCTGGGCCCGATTTGACTGACGCATATGGTCTTTGTCAAGTTAACTTTCATTTTATTTTTACATTTTGAACGTCTTTGCATCGCTGATGAGCTCAGACGGGGATCGGGAAAGACAGAGGTCTTAAGGAAACTGTGGACAATCTTCATTTTCAGAAACCCCACCTAGGCTGAATCGCATGGTCTTCGTGGGGGACCTAGTAGTCTTTATCCTATTTTTAAGACAGATAGTTGTGAAAACGTTTGCCGTCTTCTATCTTTTAGGTTATGCTCGACACTTCAAGTGGTTTTGCCACACCTGGTCCCACAGCCAACCACACCTCCTATCAGAATCCGATCTGCTCGATCAGCTGATGAAAAACAAGGAATTTGCAACGGTACGGCCGTTTTTTCTCTTGAAAATGGCATTATCACTTAATTTTTCCACAGCAGGGGTCAAATCAACAGGGGCTGTTCCAGCCACTGCGTTTGTGCTCGCTAAAGTAGCCGATTGAACCGTCATCACTCTGTTGCAGGTAGTCGTAGTGATCTGGCTCATAAGGCGCAGGCAAGGTGTAGGAGCCATTCCAGTCTCCCGTCTTCCGGCATCTGCTTGTCGACGGCCCCACAGACTGCAGTACCCTCGATATCATGAGCTCTTTCTCGATCCCTCCAACGACTGTCTTCTCCTATTTCTTTACTCCGCCGTCTATGGTAAAAGACCGCAATGAACCAATTTTAGTCCTTCTCAAGCAGTCTCCACCTGCCCAGCAAAAATCGACCGCGAACTGGAACCAGTGCACTCATATGAGACATGCATAAATAGGCATGTGGATTTAGATTCCACATACGAAATTTCCAAGGACAGGTGTGGATGAACTCAGTCAGTTCAGATTGGGCGACGGGATGCAATAGCCGTTCATTGGTGCGGACCTCGGCCAGCCATATAAGAATTTGTTAGACACGGCCAAAAGTGAAGTGTTTTTGTACCTTTCCCATACGCCTGATCTCGAACAGTTTCGCAATCAACCTCTTTAACCCCAGATTACTTTGACCTATTTTGAATCAAATATCTTGGGGTGCCTGTTATCCAACGGACCTGTGACTCAATGGTAGAGTGTTGGACCAAAGAGTCGAGGCTCGAATTCTAATGCAAAATTGGGACTGCGTTTGGCTAACTGAAGATAGCTAATAAGCCAGGATTGACGGTCTCAGACACCCTGGTCTTTGTCGGCACTTCTGCACATGTGTATTTGTATGCAGTAAACATTCGAATTTTCATGGCATGCTATGCACTAAGTTAACAGACTTACCTACGCAACCTCCCTCTCCCACATAATCTGTTCATCTTTTTTTGTTTCTCACAAATGCCCCTCTCCAGGTCCACAATCTGCCAATTCAGGAGGGTTATGCCGTTGCCCCGCATCACTCTGGCGTGTATCCGGTTTTGCCTTCTTTGTTCAGAGCCTGGAAGAAGGTGTGGGGCATTAACGTTACCACAACGGAGGGCTATCCTCGCCTCTTTCCTGCCTGGAATCGGCGCGGCTTCGCCTACGACGGCGTCCAGGTGGTACCCAGTGTCTTTGTTAGCCTGTTTGAAAAGGATTATCCATGCTTCGCATTTTGCCTTTCTCAGCAACCGATTTCGATGAAGTCTTCCGCCCGTGTTTAGCTTACTTTGCTATGCATTTTGGACAAAAGCAGGAAAGCTTGCCTAGCGGGGTGCATAGTACTTCCCGAATTTGTACTAGTGACGTTTAAGTCTTAATGGATAGTAAAAGGAAATCAGAACTATTATCTGAATACTTACCCAGATCATCCCCTCCGTAATGTTTAGTCCGTGATAAGCAATATGGGCCAATTTATAGATCAGTCCGACGTCGGCGTGCTGGAGTCTGGGTGTTACATTGGATGCTCCGTCAAATGTACCTTACCCTGGAACCACTGACGGCGCTCTGCCTTGCTGGCCGTTGTGGTCTACTCATTTTTCGACGGTTGTGATGACTTGGGAATTGGTCGTGGTGATTGTATGGTGGTTTGGTGGTGGGTTTTGCTCTCTGTGGATTTCCCCGCGGCCAATACTGGGCTCTCTTATGTCAGCGAGGAGGGGTAAGTTTGGGGCGTTACCGACTGCAGAGCTCTAGACGGTTAAGTAACAAATCACAGGCGTTGCCACCACCTCCAACTTGTTAACATTACATATTCCTTCGTCTAACGGACATCAGAATGTCTTCGGCCGTTTGCATATTCCTCAGAAAACGTGAAGGCGAAGGGCCTATCACTTTCTTTCACCCCCCCCCCCTCAGCCGCATTAACTCAGGCCTAAGGTAATGTAATGTTAACCCGCGAAGACGATCACTTCGGTTGGTCTGGGCACTGGAGGCCCGCCCTTTGAGGGGCGCCGGGTAGTGGAGCGAGCTTCAGCCAAGTCCACCTTCGAAATATGCAGACTCTAGGATCTGACGGACAAGCAGTCGCGGACAATGCAGCGACATAATTTTCAGGCGTAACTAGGCACGGATCTGGCAATCGATTGCGCATGAAAAGATGGCAATCCAAAGCGGTTTTACGATGCTGTTCGTCATGTAACCAAGCTCCACTACCCCCCATCATCTTGCTGATTGTGGCCCAACCCATATATCGAGCAGTTCTAAGACCTCAACCGGACCGTATCCGCGCTAACTTTGTTAGGGACTTCCGACTTTCTGAGCTGGACTCCGCCTATGACGTCCACAGAAACTGTCATTCCCGGATCTCAACCGAGGGGCCGAATGTCAAACGTGCAAGCTGATATTCCTCGCCAAGACAGGAAGTCGGCGTTGGTTTCTCAGACGTGCGCACAGACAGTCCCTGACGGTGCACGCCCTCTCCATCTACGCTATGGGCATTGTCTGTCTATTGAGAGTCCGGCTGATCAGTTCCGTCAGAAGTAATCGTAGCCTCAACCTCCACAGTGCTTTCCTTCCTGACTCCGACATCGCACTCATATCATGTCAGCCTGTCTCTTCTCCTACCTTTCGTACAACTTTAGCATGCGTATAGTCGTTGTCTGACCCCATGACCAACAAGGATAGGGACGAAAAGAATAGCTTTGCGATCACCGTCACGAAATTCCGGCTTTAATCCTTCCAGCGACACTAAAATCGTTGTGACGTAATTGGGCGCGGGCATAAGTAGAACCGACCGAATTCCTCGGTACGTCTCTCGGCGGCACTTGATATGACAGCAGCGATCGACTCCTCAGTCTTCTTAGGCTTTATAAGATGACTGGTGGCCAACAGCATGTTTTAGTACTATAAAACCTACCTACTGACGTACTATTAAGCCGATAGGTGGACCACAGCACAGATCAACTGCATCTATTGACTGTCACTTAGTGCGTGCTGCCAAGAAGGTCAACAAGCATAGCCCAGACCACACCCCTGAGAATGCGACTTCCCTTTCATCTCCAGACACTCACGAGGACCGTTCGAACCCAGAAATACTGATGTTTGCAAACTTCGTTTCAGTAAGACAGCCAACCGTCTTCACAAGAACGCTAATAACTGCCTTGCTTTGCCAAAAGGTATGACGCCCAGCTGTTAGATGTGAATGTTCAATGAGTCCCAGTCAAGAATGTCATAACTTAGGCTTTGTTTGCCCACCTAGGCCACAACCGTCATAAGTCGAAAGAGCGGTTATCGGCCATCAACATTCAAGTGGCAAGTGGTGTGTGTGGCTTGTCCAGATTGTCGGAGATTAAGGCTTCAGCGCACTGTGTCGTTAAGCAACATGGACAGTGAGATTCGATTGGAAACCGCTTCATGGTATTCTTTTGACCAGTTTGAGAATAATCGAACCGGTAGTCCCGAATCTGGCTTTACATCTAATAATCGGTGTTGTGTCACTGCCTTGTGAGCTTTACACAGTTAGGGCTCGCCTTATCAATAATATGATTCTGCCAGAAACTACACTTGAACGCACGTGTTCAAGCCAACAAACATCCCTTTGCCTGTTGGGGGTTATGGTGTCAGGTGTTCTGTCTAACAATTTTCGTGGTTGTCATGAGGACTGGATACGCCAGCATCTTCTGCACTTCCACCTGCGACCCACGTTTGTTTGTCAGAGAGCGCTTCCTCTGCGTTCTGAAGCCACTTATCGTTGCGGTGGTCGTTGCAGACACCTGACTCGGATAGCATTGCCGCTGATGCAGTCCTGCTGATTCACACACACACATAGCCTTGGGGGGCCTCCAGTTCATGTCCTATTCTGACTTGGACCTCTCGCACTGCAAACACCTATTGCCTTTCTGCCCGCCCACTGGCCTCTCACACTCGTCTGTCCCAGACGTTGCAGCTTATTCCCACCCAGGTATAAACGTTGCCATCAAATGAATGAGAGGTCGCGAAACATGATGGTGTCAGCAAATCCGACTTCTTCTACCACTTTGACCCTGTTCAAATTTTATCCCAGGCAAAAGGGCGTTTCAACATTTCTTTTGTAAGTAGCTTTTCCATGTGGTTAGTAGCCAGTCGCCGTTACTTCCTCCTGCATGCTCAGCGGCTCTACCATTGCCATTAGATTGCGTGACGTGGCCTTTTAGGAAGAAAATTTTTGCGACGAGAAGGGCTTTCAGTTTTCAAAGATACTAAGGTAAATCTAGTCCTTTGCACGTGCTTCTTGCTGTTGTTACTGTTGGTCCGGAAATTGCTCCTCATGACGCCACTAGTCCTCTTCACATCCAACCAGAACCCGCAGACCATAACCCTCCTGTCGTGCAGAAATTTGACTGAACCGCGGCCGACCGGACAGCATTGCGGGAAGCGG